CCATTATTGAGTAGGTATACACGTCTGTTTACGCATAAACCAAAAAATAACTACTCAAGTGTACAACATTAATTTCAATTACAATTACACATATTATTTAATATTTGAATGTTTTTTTTGTGATTTTGGATCGAGAGGCTTGGAAATGTTTGTACAGTCGTCGTGTCATAATGATTTTTTTTCTAATTGTTTTATACGACATAATATACATCGTGGTAGAGGACAAAGTGTTCCTAAATAAGTAATAATAACATAGTTTTTTAATAACTTTCAACACGCATTTTTACTATAGTTGTGTGGGTTTTCTGGTTTTTGATAAATTATAACAGGTATCTAACGGAGCTTTACTGGTACTGAATCATCAGCAATTTTGATCGTGTTTTTATTGTTTATTAATTATTAGGTATTAGATAAACTCGCCAACCCACAATGATATGCGACTGGTATTCCATACATAATAATAATTATTATAACTAATGCAAAACAAATGACGCGTGCAATCACTGGACGGCGTCAAAAAGTAACATCACAATATAAAGGTATTGTGTATTAAAATGCAATCATGTTGGACGTAGATTTGACTTAACTATAACTTGGTTGTAGACTACAATCTTCGTAACATAATGTTGCCGTTATAATCAGTTTTTTAACGAAAAATTTCACGCCTACAGATTGACAAATGAGAAAAAAAGCCAAATCAAGGAATGTGTATCAGGTTTTCTATTCAAACTGTGAAAAAGATAAAAATAGATATTTTTGAAAAAGTATTTGATGTTTTCAAATGCGAGTTATATTTTAAATAATAATAATAATTTCCACAGGTCACACGATATATTATTTTTTCTTATTATTCGATCGTTAATTAGATCACATACACAAGCGTGCGTTGTATTATAATGGGTTTAACGGGTAAAAGAATACGAAATGCGTTCGCCGGAGGAATGGTTTTGCACGAGGTAGATAGGTAGATACCTACCTCTATATTATTCTCGTATGCCTATACCACCTAAATAATACTACATAATATACACCTACCTACCCACAATCTGGCAGCTATAGCAACTACTGGCTTTACTGTACACACGATGAGTACTACTTTAATTCCTTATCATTTTTTTTCTCCTCATTTCTCGTTTCTCTCTCCTGTCCGCTAACATTTTTATATTAAAAAATACACATTATAAATCAGGTTTGCAAGAATCTGGTTCACGTTTAGTCGGAAAATAATTACGGATACCTCGGTCCACCGGCGGCAGCCGCCACGAGATGTACCGCTGCGATTTATATATACAATTGCCGCACACATCTTCACAATAGATAAGTGACGTTTTTTTTCTTCTCTCCATACACACACACACATATTACCTATACGTATATATATATATATATATATATATATATCTACAAATGTAATTGTGAAGGTCGCCATTGCCGCTTACCGTGCAGTGTTATTATTACTCGAGAATAATAATATAATACATATAATATCGTTTTTTTTTTCTTTTGACTTTAAATCGCGACGTGGGCGTAATTGTTGGCCATTATTCACCATGGCGACAATGAAACGTGTCCTCTTCATCCATTCCAATCGCCCTACACTGCATAACTTACGCGATGAATATATTATTTTATTTAAGATGCACTGTGTGAAAAACAATAATATATTTAGGTACCACCTGTGTGTCATATATTTCCGACAAGAAAAAAAAAATCTGCGTACAATTCGTTTCAAAAAATGATTTAATGTATTACGATAATTGAACAATAATAATATCGTATGGATAATATAAAATATTAGATAACAATCGAATTTGCGAAAACAAAAAACTATTTTTGTGACCATATTATATAGTCTCGATGCAGATGGATGGGTACCTATATATTAATATTTAATACGCATTATATTTTATGATTTATCTATATATACCTATATGTCATGGGTGGAATAACTGCTGCAAGGTGATCTCGTCGGGTACGGCAAATCCTAGTCGGAGAACTCTACCCGAGGCATTTTATGATTATTATAATATGTACATGATTTAATGAATAGGTACCAACTTAATTTTAATGAGTATTATTAATTCTATAATATATGCTGGTTTAATAGCCATTTTTTTACACCGATATATTCTATAAAAATCTAAAATTAATATTTTAATATGTTACCTATTAAAATGTTGAAAACTTTTTGGCATCAAATCTATATAGTAAATATTCGATTTTCAATAAATTAGAGATATGATTTGAAAATGTTTATTATTTACTTATCTATAATTATTAGTAAATATATATATAAGAGAGGAAATTTGTAAACGAATAGACAAATTGAAAATTAAACTATAATTCATATTATTGTCTAGTGCCAGTGTTGTATTATTATTGATTAAAAAAAAAAAAAAAATATTACTTAACTGACATAATCACACCCAACAATTTTTTAAATACCTAACTAAATCATAATCACCAATATTAATTGACGAACAATTATTTTTTGTTAGGTACCTATTGTAATACGTTCGTAAAAAAAAAGAATATAATTTTGAAACATTGTTATTGCACCCACACATGTGCCTTATTTGGGCTTCGATAACTATTCAAATAAATATATTATAGCCATTTACTGACGACCTTATAGAAAAATCGCAAACCGCGTGAGAATTGACTGTTTTACGAAATTTCCTTAAGCAGCTCATTAGAATGTTTGTAGATTTTAATAGTATTCGTATGACGTAGGTATAAGCAGCTGACTGATGGTTGATGACTATGTATATATTATATAGCTTATAGCAAACGTCTCGTAATTTTTTGATCTATAATAAGTAATAACTCCAGTAGATTACCCAGAGTGATGTCACTAAGACAATATGTATTTTATCAGCATATGATTGATCCATAATAAATATACGGATTAGAGGATTTGTTAAAAATCCGTAGGTAAAATATCTATAACATCTAATTTAATAAATACACTTGTAATAAAAATCTCACTTTTTGCGCGGTGGTGACGATGTATACTCGTATTATTATATTTCACATTTGAAATTTGTCGTAGAAAAATATAGTTATCAACGGCTCACATGCCGAAATTGTTAGCCTCTTTAATTTGCCACTAAATTCTGAATGAAAAATAAAAAAATATTTATAATTTACATTAATTTATACTATTGATATTTATAAATTGTAAATGTATAAGATATATCATATATTATTATAGATGTCATATATAAACAGACGTATAGATATAGCGTATCAATGGTAATATTTATTTTCTTGTATAAGTATTTATTTTGATTTTATACATAATCTGCCAACAATATTAATTAAAGGATGATTTTGTGTCTAATAATTTATCATATTATACAACTATATGTACCGTATAGCACTTAATTTATATGTAGTGTGAAATCTCAACTTACGATAAGTTACAAAAGTACAAAATATATCGAATGCATTTCAATTTTCGGACTGCGATCTTTTATATAATATAAATGTTAAATTATTATACTGCTATTATTGGCACATGATGGGAAAAGTATACAGCACATCAGTACCAACAAACAATTTTTTTGGTTCACAACTGTAAAAAAAAAAAAAACACTAATGGAGTATTCTGGAACTTTTCGTTTGCAATTCGGCTGTCATTTATTAATGTTTTGTTGAAGCTGTTGGGATAATTAACGAAAGACGTTTCGCGTTTACTATCCATCATGTACATAAACATACAATATATCCGGCATAGGTATATATTATTTTGTCTCGTTTTGACAACGAACATTCGTACAAACGACTTAAGACATTTGTGTCGGATATTTTTTTTCAAGAATATTTCACTATGCAGTTATATTCCATTTTTACATATAGCTGTAATGAATGTGGGCGTACAAGTACACCCGTGTGGGAAGAAGGGGGATGTCTGTCAGTGAAGTAGATGATACCCAACACATATCGTAGCATATTTTGTGCACGAGATTTTCATCGTACCTATACCTATGTGCATAAGTACTTACATCTTATAACATTCATAATAATAATACACACTCGTAACGTKCCTATGCAAGTAAAAAGTAAAAACGACACACTACATTATATTATTATTTGATCATATTTTTATATTATTATAAACGAAAGAGTCATCGTCGCGCATCGTGGGCAGAGGCAAATCATTTTGACAAAAAAAAAATGTATTAATTTATTGTTATCTGTTGATGTAAAAATAATATTTTTAAACTCAACTCGTTTCTGTATTTGGCTAACGATCATAAGAATTTTTTAATTGTATACGTCTACAAAAGCGGAAAGACAAAGGGCAATTTTATCGCCTATAAATCATAATATATTATTGTCTTGATTTATTTTACGTGAGATAATAAATTTAAATATACTTAGTAAATGTTTAAATATCTGTGTTAATAAAATTATTTAACTTCAGATAGTACCAATAATGTGCAAGTAAATGAAAATAATTAACATGAATTAGTTAAGTTTAAAGACCCCATAAAGAACATTAAGCTATAAGTTAAAGGTTTTTACAAATAATGTTTCAAACTACTCGTCTGCGTTAACTAAATAATTAAATCATAAGAAATATTAGTTTGTAGGTATTTTAAATCATTGTATATTATAATATCTCAAATAATCAAACAAAAAAAGCTAAGTTGTTATAATGGGTTCTTTAACCCGTTAATTTAAAAACTCAAATATATAGCTTATTACACAATAAACAAAAATAAAAAGATCAAATTTATTTTTGATCTATTCGTTTAAATAATGGTACAAACCGTAGAATTCGAAATCACTTAAATATTGAAATTTATACGCTTTATCAGATATAAAAATAATTAAATAACAGTGTTCGAAGTGAACGGAATACGGAAAGATGACATCCCTCCATTTTTTCTAATTTATATCTTCCATCCCTTCGTTTACGCTTGTAGAACTTGTACGACACTGTATATCAATGACAGCTCAGAATTAACACATTTTTCTTTTTGCGTTTTCAGAGTGTGACGTGACTCCGGACCTGATATCGTGCTGCGAACCCGCTGACCGCCCATACAGCTGCAGCGGAGGCGGACTGACGGAAACAATGAAGTCGTCGCATTCAGCGACCGTAGAGCCTTCCGGTAGAACGGAATCGGAAACAGACTCGGACGGTACGAGAAACTTTGTTACAACGATGACACTGAGAAGACCTACTTCGGGAAGAACGGACGAGGTGTGCAACCGGAGCGTGCGTGATAAAATAGCGATGTTCTCGCGGGCCACGGCTACGGCGACTGGCGGCGAGAAAAAAGATTCGTTGTCGTCTTCGTCATCGTCGTCGTCGTCGTCTGCTTACTCAACGGCGTCCACAGATTCGTCACCGGTAGCGTCACCAAAATCCGTGGTCTACAGCACTCTGCCACGCAAACCGCCACCGCAGCAACAGCAACAACCACAACATAAACAACACTTTCCAGAAACGGTACGGCCGTCGTGGGGCACACCGGCACTGCAGACTGCTGCCGACCATCGACGATCGCAAAGCCTCGTCGAACAGCCGTACAGCAAGTACTTCAACACGATGAACGCGTACGCGGAAATGGGACGGTCGTCGCTGAACGCTCTGATCGAACAGCGCCGGCGGAGCATGTCCAAGCTTAGGGGACTGGTGATACCGGAAAAAGTGGTGCCAGGGTCCGGAAGCGGTTTTAACGGCGGTGACGGAGACAGCACAAGTAATGGTGGAGCCGATGAGCATCCGGCTGCGATTCCCGATCTGCCGCTGGTGATAAAAATTCCGCTGTCGGAAAACGAAGACGATACCGATGCCGCGGTGTTGTGTCCGCCCACCAAAACATACGTCAACGAACCATTGATGGGTACGGTAACCAGGCGTGCTAACCCGGTGTCGCAGCAGTCGTTCGTGGTCGTCCCCGTTCTCACACCCGCACCCATGACGGAACAGCGGCGTCAGTCGTCTACGTCGAGTTCGCCGTCGTCCTCTTCGTCTTCTTCGTCTACGTCGTCGTCGTTGAACTCGAGCCGAGAAGAACTCAGGCACATACACGACGAACGGCCGATATCGTCTGTCAAGTCGTCCAACAAAGGCTCGTTCAAAGCGGACAGCGATGAAGACTCGGCCCTCAGTTCTAGTCGGTCGAGCACGTCACTCCAACAGTATTCGCCCGCTTCGTCACCGCCGCCTCAGTCACAGCAGCAGCCGCCGCCACTGCCATCGTCGTCACCACCGCCACCGGCCACCAACTACGGAAGTTTGCCTGCGTGTGAGACCGGAAAACGAGTGCTGAAAGCCGAAAGCGTGGAGGCCATCAACCGGAAGAACGTCCTCTGCTCTGCCAGGATCAGCAGCGGCAAACCGGAACCTCAGCCAGTGATGTCATCCCCGGCCAACAACTACGCATGCAAGACCGAATATTTGCCGAACCTGCACCACTACCACCAGCATCATCACCAACAACATTCGGACGGGCCAGTGTTGAAATCCGCCAAGTCCGGGCTGGCGTTCGCCACCGGAACCGCGGTCGTTAATAGGTACACGCACAACCGGATGTCGTCCGTTGAGTCGACGACAAGTGACGATTCGTCCATGCAATACGCAGTCAACGCCGAACCGTTCGGTAGTATCAGCTCGCTGGCGTCGTCCACCAGTCTGATTTCGCAACAGGAACTCCAGCAGCTAATCGACGAGGCCAATCAAACGTTGGAAGAGAACAACAGCGGTTGTTACGGTGCCTCCTCAGCCGCCACGATTCCACCGCACTCGGTCGAAGTGACCGTCGTAATCCTGCACCGGGATATGGCCACCAGTAGCGTAGGCATCACGTTGGCCGGCGGTGCTGATTATGAAACTAAAGAGATAACGGTCAGTACTATACGTATACTACTATATGCATATTAATAACCCATCACGAAATCTATAATCGTATGCAGTCTTCATTATTGTGGTCGCTATTTGTATATTTATTTATTTTTGGGAGTATACTCCATTATACACAGCTTTTACGTTTTTTTTTTTTATTATTATTATTATTAATGCCTCGGCTACTATGTGGCCATTGGCTACAATAAATTACATCATTTAACATAAAAGATATAACTAATAACTAAGGTAATATCGCAATAATACAATAAATAAATAGGGGCTGTATATATAAAATTGATTGTAATACATTATAGGTGGATATATTTTACTTATAATATATGTTATTTGGATATTATATTTTTATTAAATTTTTTTATGAAGTTCTGTACCCCTGAGGAATTTTATAAACATTAGTTGTATCGATTTTACGTTTTCCGTAATATATATTTTATATATAATATATAGATACATCACTTGTATATTTGGCAACGACGCTACACCGCGAGCTTTGCTTTAGGATTTCTAACGTATCGGACAGCTCGTAGAGTTATGGGAATATAACGTTGCACATTAGTGATCAGTCGCGTGTTTGCTTACCCGTCGGGAATCGGGATCGTTTATTAGTCTAATTATAAGTACTTATCTATAAGCCGGCGACACATTTATAACGATCCTCAAGTGGCAAAAGGTTTTCCAAGTGGTGTCCGCTAACTGTTTGTAATTAATATAATTGTTGTGCTTATGAGTTCGACTATAGTACTATACCGATGGATTTGTTTTCGCAGGTGTATAAAGTATTGTCTGGAAGTCCGGCGGATAAAGACGGCCGCATACGAAAGGGCGACCGCATATTATCCATAAACGGCAAAAGTATGAAGGGAATCACGCATCGAGAATCATTGGCAATACTTAAAGTAAGATTGAACCAATCGCATGTATACAAACATTAATTAATTGTATTTGTACTGATTTAGGCGCCTAGGTCTGAAGTAGTGTTGGTTATATCTAGGTGCAAGTCGGACTTGACCACTGAATCCGTTGGGCTACATCAATCTGCTGACCTAATGACTCCGACCAAAAATGGTAATAAACGATTGAACTTTGCCGAGTAAGATGTGTAGTCAACATTTCAAGCCACCGCATTTATTCTTGTTTGAATTAAGATAATATGGTTCTTCACACGGTACATTTTGTACATATGTCTCCACACTTCAAACGATATCTCTATACAGTTATATTTAATGGATGACCATAAAGAAATGAAATTACGCAAAACAGCAATYCCGTCTTGTTGGTTGGATAGCATAAAAGCCCAGCTCTWTCCGATTAGCTAATTCGTAAATCACTGTATCTATACTTATAACATTAATATATCCGGTTACTTTCACCACCAATAAACCATATTATTTTAAGTTTGCTATTTATCGAGTGACTCATAATGACATTGATTTAAAAATGAGTACGCCGTAATAATTTTATACCTTACCTATTAATTGTAAATATTTTGGCACTGGCATAATCGGTATAAAAATTAATTTATACATATTTCTAAGCTGACGTATACTTAAATTATAAATTAAAATCAAAACAGTTTATACAACACTACAAATATACAAATAATGTTTATGTACCTAGTTGTATTSATTATACATGGTTTTATTGTGAAACTTTTGAGAAGAAATACAAATACACAGCTAACCTCTTAAGCAATAATTATTATTTCTCAAAAATATCCTTAATATATTGTTTATATCTTACAGATGTTACAGCAAATAGAGTGTTTGGGCCATTAACAAAAATAGTGTTGTCAAAAGACGGTTCTGGTTTAGGCTTTAGCTTAGAAGGTGGAAAGAATTCACCAACTGGTGACCAACCATTAACAGTGAAAAAGATTTTCACAGGTCAGTAACTTTATAAACTCTATTATGTCAACAATATTGGATAATTGATTATTTGTCTAGGTGGATGTGCAGAACAATGTGGACAAATATTAGCTGGAGATGAATTGGTTTCAGTAAATGATATAGATGTTACTGGAATGTCACGTACTGAAGCATGGAATTTGATGAAGAGGCTAGTAAACGGAACTGTTACACTTTGTATACGACATGTAATCTAAATACTATTATACTAGCATATAATATTTTTATTGTATAGACAGTCTAAAATTATATATTGTATCTTTATTTATATCTTACTTTTAAAAATGATTTATAGAGAATTTGTTATATTAATTTGGCAATAAACTTTTTTTTACCATTTTTGTAAAATACAATTTTAATAACTATTTAATAAAAATATAATTTAATAATTGTATAAAATAATGTTGTTAGTATGATTTGATTTTATATATACTTTCATTTTAAATATTGTGCCATTGTGATTTATGTTAAATGTGGTTAAATAGATTATGGTTTGAATTATTTATAAAATATACACATCTATACATAAATTCAAATAGGCATAATTCAAATATTATCTTCATTTATCAACATATATGTATTATATTATAGGAAAACATAAATTACACAATATACAAATAGATACTACATTTTTTTATCACTTTTATTAACATGCTGTATAATCTTACTTAGATTGTTTTTAGACACATTTACATTTGGTAAAATTTCACTAATAATACCAGTAGCTACTGTTCTTCCATTTTCTCTTACAGTAAATGATTGTCCAATATCCATAATCATTTTATTCAATAAAGTTATTGTGACTTCAGCATGCTCTCCAGGCATTACCATAGATACTGCAGAATCCAGATCAATTCTAAAAGAAAATATAAATAAATACAAGGATATAAGAATAATATTATGTACAAGTACAGTACCTGCAAACAATGTTCCAYGTGTGACTGAATAATTGCTGTTGATAATTTGATGTGATCGGTTTTGACCGTCCACCTTCAGAACGTGAAAGAAAATAAATTGTTGCTTTATAATGATTGTTCAGTATCAAAGTATTAATTGGGCACAGTATCATGCCCTTACGAACAAATTTAGGCTTTATGCCTCTTAACAAAATACCAACATTTTCTCCCGCTTTGGCACTTATCACTGATTTATTGAACACTTGGATATCCCCAATACTAGTGGTTTTTTTTTCATCAAATCCTAATAACTCAACTTTATCGTTTTTGCAAACTGTTCCTCTTTTTAATGTGCCTATAATAACAGCCCCTCGGCCAGGTACTAGTAAACAATTGTCTATAGGCAATAAAAATGGAGAAGTAAAGTCTCGTTTTGGAGTCGGTATGTTATTGTCAATTACATCCATTAAATTTCTTATAGATTTTTCTCCAAGTTCAGACGTGTCACCTTTTAATGCAAGAAGTGCTGAACCAAAAATGAATGGAACCTCATGTCCTTTAAAACCAAAGTCTGTTAATAGTTCTCGTATTTCTAGTTCAACAAGTTCAATAACATCATTTTCTGTTATGTCACATTTATTAACAAATACTACCACATGTTGTACTCCAACCTAAAAAAGTTCAACTATAATTAATATGTATAAAAATAAATAGTAATTTGAAATTTGTAAGTAAAACTTAAACATAACTGGGAATTGTATTGTATATTTGTATTAATTGAGAAATACAGCCTATAGACTTTGTTGAAACTCATAACAAACCGGTTACAAAATTATGAGAAATAAAATAATGTGAATCAAAAGTTTAAAATTTTAATACCGGGTTGCATAAACAATCACAAACATTGAATGAATTAAGAGTGAGCTATGGTCCATTTTAGGGGCCCATGACTGATCCATAAAATTAATCAATTTTTTATGCAATCCAGCAAAAATAAGTATATGATATAAGCATATGTATACAGCACAATTATGAAGAACAGGTTAAGCATCGCGCGCTGTATWAGCGGTCAGAACTAGTTACACTTCGTGTAGTTCATAAAACCGCCGAGCGCTGCTAGTCAAATGTGCTAGATTTTTATTATTTTGTGATAATCCCAATGGCCAATGCCCAATAGAATAGAACATTTNATAATCTTTGATTGTAATATTACGGCACTTTCATATCAATTTGTACTTAGAATGTTTTCTGTGAGATACGATGTATTTCGATTTTTTATTTTTGAGATACGACTTATTTCTTGTGTATAAATAGTATAATACTATTCAGAATAATAAAAAAAAATGCAGCTCATAATAATATCAGACATACTTAGTATAATTCCTTTTTATTAATATTAAAACTTTTCAGAATTTTCAGGACCTGCTAGGTAAAATCATATTCTTTTTATTATTTAACATTATAATTTATAAAAACAAGTAACAATGAATAAAATACGTATCAAAATTGTTCAAACATAAATAATTTTTTAGTACCTACTTGGTAAAATCACATTCCTTTTATTATTTAACATTATAATTTATGAAAATAAGTAACAATTAATAAAATAAATATCAAAATTGTTCAAACATAAATATTTTTTAGTACCTACTTGGTAAAATCACATTCCTTTTTTTATTTAACATTATAATTTATGAAAATAAGTAACAATTAATAAAATACTTATACAAATTGTTTAGCACCTACTTGGTAGTAGTACATTTTATAATCATATTATAAAATATACATTATTTAAAAATATCAAATCGAATAAATATTAATAATAAAAAAAACATTTTTCAGTATAAATATAAAAAACATTTTTACAAGTGGTTATGTATAAAAAAACTATTTTTAATTTAAGGTAATAGCTTTGTTAATACTTTATTTTGTTATAAAACTCATGGCAGTCTTTTGGGAGAACAGATTTAAGCTGTTGCAAATGTTCCCACTTGGTTTTCTGAATTTTTAAGTCAGATGTATGTAGTGGCCCATATATTGTAGGAGATAAAGTTTTACTTGTTTTTTTTCTTTGTTTTTGAACAGAATTCAGATCTAAATAATCATCATCAAAATTAAGTTTAAATTCTATACTTCCATCACAGTTATAGCGAAGAGCCTTAATATTGGTAACAGTAGGATCTCCAGCCTTTTTACCAGGTCTTATAGTATCAAACCTGTATGAATCAAGTTCATATTTTTAAAAAAAATTTACATCACAATATTTTACATTGTATGGGAATGGTTTAGTCCTGGCACTTTTTGTTATCCTCATATAATCAGATGGCAAATAGATATCGGTATTTCTTAATTTATTTTCAATTGTTGAATGGACAGAGTCACATTCCATCTGTGTATGGCCTTTAGTTAAGTACTTTTGTTCAATAGAAATTGTATTATTAATGGCAAATTCCAATAATGCATTTGATAAAACACAATTTCTGTTTTGGTAACAGCAACCATCACTCCAAAGTATAATATTTTTTAATGGATATTTTAAGTTATACTCAGTTATTTGATCTATTATGCAACTTACAAAAGATGATGCAGAGAGGTCTGACTGTGTTTCATCCCACCAATAGCATGTACATTCATGAGAGGATAAATTATACATGGTAAAATTATGTACACATAATTTACACTTGTAGTATAAAGCACTTGCTTTTAAATTTGGGCAAATTTTTACTGCCTGGAGGTCCATAGTGAATACAATGATTTCATTACACTTAGCTTTTTCTTTNAATTTCTTATAGATTTTTCTCCAAGTTCAGACGTGTCACCTTTTAATGCAAGAAGTGCTGAACCAAAAATGAATGGAACCTCATGTCCTTTAAAACCAAAGTCTGTTAATAGTTCTCGTATTTCTAGTTCAACAAGTTCAATAACATCATTTTCTGTTATGTCACATTTATTAACAAATACTACCACATGTTGTACTCCAACCTAAAAAAGTTCAACTATAATTAATATGTATAAAAATAAATAGTAATTTGAAATTTGTAAGTAAAACTTAAACATAACTGGGAATTGTATTGTATATTTGTATTAATTGAGAAATACAGCCTATAGACTTTGTTGAAACTCATAACAAACCGGTTACAAAATTATGAGAAATAAAATAATGTGAATCAAAAGTTTAAAATTTTAATACCGGGTTGCATAAACAATCACAAACATTGAATGAATTAAGAGTGAGCTATGGTCCATTTTAGGGGCCCATGACTGATCCATAAAATTAATCAATTTTTTATGCAATCCAGCAAAAATAAGTATATGATATAAGCATATGTATACAGCACAATTATGAAGAACAGGTTAAGCATCGCGCGCTGTATWAGCGGTCAGAACTAGTTACACTTCGTGTAGTTCATAAAACCGCCGAGCGCTGCTAGTCAAATGTGCTAGATTTTTATTATTTTGTGATAATCCCAATGGCCAATGCCCAATAGAATAGAACATTTTTAGTTTTTACCCTTGCAATGTCTTGTAAAAATATAAAGTATTCGAATAAATGTAATATATATTAAAATACTTTATTTTTATTTGAATACCATTTTAAATACCTTATGAAAAAATTAGTCGAATAGCTATTCAAAATACAAAATAAAAGTATTTTTTGTATGACTGGGCCTAGGTTACAAATCGTGCTCAGACACCTGAACATCTCAAATATTTACTTTTCTTAGATTCTACATTATCATAGGTATACAGTATACCTTTTTTTTAAATTTTAATAAATCAAAATGAACATAATATTATATTATAAATATTTATGTTGATTTCAAACAAGATAATATTCAGGGTATAACAAACCAGTCTTCAGAGTAGTGCCAATTTTCGGAATTTGTATATTTACTTGCAGCTATTACTTCTCTTAACATTATTGATTTAGAATCATTTAACTGATGTTTATTAATTATTATCTTCTATTAAATTGCATGGCATTTTACTTAATTCATCTTTTGCAGCACTTATTTCACTCTCTAATATTTTCACTCTAAATTTGGCCCTTAATACCTTTTTTTAATTATATACTTATCCTTTCTAACAGTGCTTCTTCTTAGATGGCAACAAAAACAAAATACTTTTTTTACCTTCTGACATACGTTTTCTTTTCATACGCATCGCACCACTTRTATTAAAGCAATGCAAACAGCTTTGTGTTTGTGGTATTTTATAATCTAATATTATATATGGACACTGCTTATGTCGCCAACGTCCATTCAGTCCTACTTGTGCCATACTGTGATGAATACCAGGATATTGGTGTTCAATGGGCCCCCAATACACACATGAATATTATTAAGCTGCTGTAAAATACTAGTAATATTTTGAACTAATGGTAAAAAGGAATTTCTATACCAATTTTTTCTAAATTAAATATTTTGTCATACATTTTAYACATTATCACCATATATTTACCAAAGCTAATCTGTTTTTCAAGTAACAATCCAAATGTCCCATCAATATCAATGCATGATATTTTAAAATAAAAAGTTATAAATGGGTTTTTTTCATTAATTATTTTATACTACCAACCACTTGGACATAAAACTACAGCTGGATTTTTAAATATTTGAGAAAATATTACACCTGGCTGATATTCTGGCTGTAGAGAGGAAATGGCCGTCTCAGTGGGAACTGAATGAAGAACTTTATAATCTTGATTGTGATAGACAGTAATGCAGATAACTTTAAGCTCATAGACTTATGAAATAGCCYGTTTAACTAGCAGCGCCAACCTAGTGGATATTATTACAACTACGTGAATTGTAACGCATTGTGACCGGCCAGTCGTGTATAAATCATATTATCAATGTCTAACCTGTTCTTTATAATCGTGGTATACAGAAACAGCAAACTTAAAATAAACAGTTTTTGCATTTTTCAATAAAATTAAAGTGGACTAGCCAGAGACAAAAAAGTTGAGTTCTTGTTTGTTATATTACTACGAGTGGGCCTAGCATAAAAGATAAATTAATGTTTTAAAAACAGGCTGAGTGACTTAACCATTATTAACTATCAAATTTAATTATAATAATATTTGTATTGTATAGATTGTAAAGATTTTAGTAAAAAAGTAAAAAAATTTAAATGAATTTCAATCTATGATCTTTACCAATAAATTCAAATAATTGCTAATAATAATCAATGCTATGATAATTTTTATCCTGACATATTATTTAAATATAAAATTATTTACTTGTTTAATCAAGAGCAAATGTTCTCGAGTTTGGGGCATTGAGCCATCCGTAGCAGCAACTACCAAAATAGCACAATCTATTTGAGATGCTCCAACAATCATGTTTTTAACAAAATCAGCATGTCCAGGACAGTCAACATGAGCATATTTACGCATTGACGTTTCATAGCCTACATGAGCTATATTTATAGTTATACCTCTAGCTTTCTCTTCAGGAGCCTTATCAATTTCATCATAAGCTATAAATCTCGATAAACCATCCTTTTCAAGAACCTTAGTGATTGCCGCTGTCAGTGTAGTTTTTCCATGGTCAACGTGCCCAATTGTACCTATTTGTAGAATTCTATTTAGTATGATTATGTGTTAAAACCTCTCTAGACTTACCAATGTTGCACGTTGGCTTAGGATTCGTACTGTATAATTTGAGTGTTATTMGGTTAACCCTGAATATTCTGTTATAAAAAAATATTTTTCTACTCAATRTAGCGTTCAACAAGCAAAGTGACTTTATGGTCATTTTGTCCATAAATTAAGTGTTCTAATTATAAATGTATAAGGTAATCTGTATTAGTTGTCATCGAAAATGCACAATATTACAAATAATATAATGAAAAAAAAATAAAAATAATATATACTACACAATCATATATTTTATAATATTGGACATTGGCGACTGACGGATGGAAAAATATTAAATGTAAGTATAATGTATATTTAATAGTTTAATATTAAGGTAAAAAAATGTAAKAATYGAGAACCCATATTAATATATTATATCGATAGTATTTTTTGTAAATCAAGACGAAAATTATGCTATAAGGGTTATTAGTGTTATTACTTATTATCATAGAATTTAGATCACAATATTATTATGATATAGGTTATCACGAAACCCGGCTATTGATGATATTATCTATTTTTCTGATAATATATAATAATATATATAATAATAATTAAATAATATATAATAATATATAATAATATAATAATAGTAAAATAATAATAATATAATAATAATAATAATAATAATAATAATATAATAATAATATATAATAATATATATAATATATCGTAGTGATAACAATACAAAATATATCTTTAACTTATCACATTTGAGCAGACCAAAAATCAAGGTGTATTGCTATTGCCTATTTGCTTAGAATGCTTAGATCATATTTATTTTGTATATTATTATGATCTAAATTCTAAGGTGTATTGATTATGAACGTGTCATATTGTCATAATTTCTCATACATTTTAGTCCGTGAATCTTCATATTGATTATTTTACAATGATGTGTTTTTTTTGTTTAGTGTACACGATAACGATAAGTATTCAAAGTAGGTAATTCATCGGTTATTAATTTAATTATATTTTCTAGTAAGATAGTGAATCTGGTTGATGTAAATAGTAGGTACTTTTTGAGTAATAAGGAAAATGACAGTTTTTAACAGTATGTATAATGTTTTGTCTCTTCTTGAGCTATTTATAGAAATTAGAAATTGATAAGGCAAAAACTTGAAAATGATATGATTTTATGAAAAATATCATTATTAGTGTATTTAAAAAAAAGCGGGTAAGTGGATTTCGCCCTGCTGTACATTAGGGAGTGGGGTGGCCATCTGACTAGGGTAGGTTAAATTTGAATGCAATGATAGGTATCACTGTATACGAAAAACGATTTTGAACGGAGATGATTTGTCAGTCAAGAATATATTGTATTTAAATATTGTCATATATTCTTGTTGGGGCCGGTAGCATATAATGATAATACGCGCATCCCGGATACCTGATTGATCACCACTAACACCTAGGTAATAAAAATATGGAGGACTAGCTGGGTGTGTAGTGATGTAATAGCTCGAACAGCAGTGGTCGGGAACGCCGGGCAAATACTGTCGATCTATGTAGTGCGTGTTGTGAATTGTGTGTATTTGTGTATGTATGTAGATGTGTGTACAATAAAACAAATAATAATAAAATGGTAACAAGGTTTTTGGTAATAGTTGCTGTTGCTGTATAATACACAATAATAATAATAATAATATTATAAATATATAATAATTCACAGAAACACAAATGTATAAAAATATAATAGGTATATATAATAAATTAAAGCCCTTATGGCTATTAAAGTATATGATATATTGTGGCCCTTCTGGTCCAACAATATATAAGGTGAATAATAAATTAATAATTGAAATATATTAAGTAAAGGTGTCGCCCTTATGGCCAGACAGAATAAATACAAATTGTCCAGCTATTTAAGCTGTTATCAAATGTAAATAATGTGACCCTTCTGGTCCAACAATATAAAAATAAGTATAATAATTAAAATCTGTTACATAGATGCACGGCCCTTATGACCAAACAGAATAAAATATATAAATTAGGTAGCTATCAGAGCTGTAAGCTTATATAGAAAAATTGTAATATTAAAATAATACGCAGCCCTTCTGGCGCGACAAAATAACAATAAATAAATTAAGCCCTTTTGGCTAAACAGTATAATATAATAATCTGGCCTAACAGAATATAAGTGATTATAGATGCTCAGCCCTTATGGCACGAACAAACCAAATAATAATAAACACAGCTATTAGAACTGATGCTCGTGTAAAAGTAATTAATACAAATATAAATAATGCACGGCCTTTGTGGCACGACAGAATATAGTAAATATGTATAGCTCTTATGGCACAATGAAAATAATAATAATAATAAATCAAGCCCTTATGGCTAAGCAAGATAAATATACAATTATAAATGTGCAGCCCTTATGGTTGACAAATAAATGTATAATATTTTGGCCCTTCTGGCCCAACAGAATAAAAATAAGTATAATAATTAAATAAATAATAAATAGTAGCAATAAGAAAAACTCACAATTTGTGGAGCGCAGACTGGCCAGCTGGTCCTGTGCTAAATAATATAAAATAATACATGACGGCAATGATAACAAATTAACAATAATATAATAATATGCTGCCTTTATGGCTTACAATGATAGAATAGGCATAAAATATAAAAATGCCCTTGGCGTTTAGCACCAAATTATAATACAAATTACAGAAGCCCTTCTGGCATTCACATTTATTAAAAAACAATAGAATAGTTATAAATTTCACTTAMAGAACTTKTTRAATATATTTTTTGTACAAGTGATACGGTCGCGACAACGTACGGTCGTACGAGACAAAAAGTCACGGCGGCCGTGTTAATTATATTATATAATAATTCACGCGGACATTTATTACAAAAATAAAACAATATAACAATAATAAATATGTGCTGTGTGTATGTGTGTGAGTGTGTGCGACCAGCTATTCTCTGTGCCCGATATATTAACTTACGTAAGTATATATTTATACATACAAATATATTATTTTTCAATTAGGAAGCATTTTGAATAAGGCATGGTTATTCAATTTTTCCAAACACATTGCATGTAGTTATTATAATTCATAATACCTCATATTATCATAGATTACATATACCTGATTTTATAAAAATTTAAAACTCAAACACTCAAAACATTTTTCCTATTATGACGCTTCAAATTTTCTCTATATCTATTTGAAGCAAAACTTATGTAAAACTTGGTGTTTATATTTTTTAACCTTAGATATAAATACAAATAATTTTATGAATTTTGAACTACAAAATAATTAGCAATTTTCGCGTTTTCGACAGATTTCGTAGAAATTTGAACTATAAACGCTTATAAAAAAAAATTGTGCCTATGTATTCTTATAATTTGTTAATCACTATAAGATATACTTATGAGAAAATTTGTATTAAATTTTCAAGGATTTTGATATGGCCATAAAAATTATATCGACATTTCAAAAAAAAAAAATTTAAGTTGTCTATAAATTTCTCAAAAAAAGTCAAAATATTTTGAAAATTAAATCATGTAAAGAAAACGCCAATCTTAATAACTGGTAAAATTTTCAAGTATCTACTACATATGCTTTTTGAATAATAACAAATATTTAAAATCATTTGAGGATGAATCGTTATCGTTACGCTAATTCGTAGAAAATTAAAATTCAAACGCACTTAAAATTTTTTGTATAATGATGCTTCGAGTTTTCTCTATAGCTACTTGAAGGAAAACTTATGGAAAACTAAGTTTTGTATTTTTAATCCTTAGTTATAAATACA